CCTAACCCTCAAAATCACCCGCTCCGCACCCGAACCCACCCTAACCCCCGAACTAACCCCACCCGTCCCAGGCTGCTTGGCTTACTTTACCTTGAGTTTATTTTACCTAAATTGAAGTCTTATTTTGCGTAAGTCAGGATGTTGCTTGAATTTTTGCATATCGAACCTGCACAGTGCACTGTCAAGTTGGCAGTGTCAACCGTCACCTTAATTTTCTCTCGATCACTGTAATTGGCTGAGCCTTTGGATTGGCTGAGTCATCCTTCACATGGGCACATCAATCATTGGAGTTGCAAATTCGAGTAATATGGCTACTGCATGAGCTCCCAGCAGACGTTCTGGCAACGAATTGAAAGTGTTCACAATTAACGATCGAGTGTTCACAAGAATCGGCACCCGGGGGACGGGTAGGGTTGGTTTGTGGGTAGGGGTGTGGAGCGCGTGAGGTTTTAGGTTAGGGGTTTTAGCTTGTGCGCCCGGGGCTTTTAAATCTTAGTGAATACTGTGTTTAGTATATTAACACTGCCGTTGCCATTACGCTGCCGCCGTACCTGACTACTTGAGCAGTTCAGTTATGCACCATGCACATTAAATGCTCCGCGTTTTGGGGGACTTTAGCATACCGGTAACCCTCGTGTGACCTAACGGGCGTGTGACCCAAGATACGAGTAACCCGGGCACCTCAAACTAAAAACCCAACCCAATCAATCAACCGCTCCGCACCCCAACCCACCCTAACAACCGTACCAACCCCACCTGTCCCCGAGGTGCCTATCTTAGGTCACACGGCTCTTAGGTCACACGAGAGTTATCGGAGTGACTGTAGCACGTGCTAACAGAATTAAATAGTTGGAGAGTTCCAAATACATGACAACATGCAGGCAGCAGAAGGAAAGCCTGATTGGCAAGCCTGATCAAAGCCGGGGCCCGGAATACCGTACGGTAGGTACATTTTCTGCTCTCCAATATTTAAATTTCAAACAGTGAAGTACTTATCTTCAAAACCTAACCCAGAAAAATAACCCGCTCCAAGCTGCGCGCACCCAGTCCGCCCCGCAGTACGTACCCAGTGCCGACCGGGCACCCTAAACAGCTTCACAGGGGGGCATACCTTCTGCTTTTGCAATCAATGATCGAAGCTTTCTCGGCTGCAATTGTCCCCAAGGAACCGGGAGTGTAACGGTACGGAAGCCGACCC